ACTTTACGAGGAAACTAATTTACTACGGGCTTACGAGGAAATGTACTATTGCCACATAATTTCCTTGTAACGTTACTACGGTGTTACGAGGAAATATTTTTCTCGTACCTGTACGAGGACCTTACGAGGAAATATGGTTTCCTCGTAATTTCAAAGTAAGTTCGTAGTAACTTTACGAGGAACTGTTTTACTAGTAAAATTTCGTAGTAACTTCTTAGTTTTCTTGTAGTGTATTTTGTTTTAAAAAACTTATAAATTTAACTCAACTATAATTTTATTTTAACTAAATTTTTATTTTGTAGATAAATTTAGTTTCTAATAGAAAAGAGAATGATTTATATGAATTTATAATTATATTAATGAAAGTATTCTTAATTTTGACAAAGTATAAATCACAAATATTTACTCTTTTAGATATAAAATAAAACTATATAAAAATCTAAGGGTAAATTTGTAAATAAAAAGTTCAATACTAAAAAAAGTTTATGAATAGTATTTCCTTATTCATATTCTCATTTTTCTCTCGAAGGAAATCACTTTAATTCAGAATTGGATATGTTTTTTTCTTTCTGTACAACCCTTCCACTCTCATTAATATCATCTTGAACCATGAAGAGTGGATCTTTACCGACACAAAGAGAGAAAAACTACCTTGAAACAGAGCAAAAAGAACTCATATTAAAAAAAAAACAGAAAACTCATATCAACCAACCAGAGCTTCATCCCCTAGGCTAAAACTTCATCTGACAAATGTGGCTAGTTCTGCAATAGTTGATTTAATCACGAACTCCTCTTGAGTTACCTTTAAGGGCATAATCTTTAGACTTGGTTACTCAAAGGCAGGCCTTTTTAGATCCAAGGAGAAGTAGATGTATGAGTGAAATAAGAATCTCCACATGAACATTGTTAAGATCTGATCTTTCTTCTTTTTTGCCTGTAAAAAAATAAATGAAGAAATCATTTTCTCCATTCTCTCAATGGCCGAAATTATTCTCGTCGGAAGTGTCTAATTCTCGCTGAAATTCACCTCTTCTCCTCCAAAATAGTATGAGGAATCAATTTTATAGATCTCTCGGTTTCAAAAAACAAAACCCAATTTTTTTTTCAGAACTAATTTGTTTCTGTAAAAAAAATTAACAGTTGGCTTTTTAAAGTCCAATTTCCCACATTTAACATTTATTTGAGGATTAAATCTACACAAACAATAGTTGGGTATTAAAAGTGTTAACTGCAAATATTTGGAAATTAATAACTCATTTTTCCCTAATCCATATACATTTCTTTTGTAGAAAGCTAGGTGAAGGGACTTTGTCCAAGAGGTTGTCAATTTAGTGACTCAGGTTTACAAAACATTGACATATGACCTACCAAAAAGTTCGCTAGATTTTTATTCACCTTTGAATTTATTCTGAAATGGCTTTTTTCCCTTTGTGTACAATGTATGCTAGTGGAACAAATGTAGGTACAATAGTTACAGTGTCTACAAATGATAAGGTGACATTTATTCTCAGTAGATTTACTAGGCTTAATAACAAGTTCTTGTTAACCCTTAGTTCTTGCATTTCTTTGTTGATAGCGGCAACAAGTTGTAAACGCTTTAGATTTTTCTCTTAAAAATATACATGTCAATTAGGGCAGAAGCCTGATATATATGTAGCACATTTGCATGGTTTTAATCATCATATCTTGTACATTTGGATCATATAGAAGATCATTTAGACATGTTTAGGATACATTTCATTGTATATGTCTTTATCAGGTGTTGAAAATACAAGATGGTGACTTTAATACCATCAGAGGTGTTTTGGAGACAAGAATGGTGGTTATTGAGTCGGGGATAGATTTGTCTAAGTGTTCCAGCGGCCTAATGCTCCCAGCAGCCAAATGTTGTGTATCGTAAAGCCACGGTGAAACCATGATTTGGATGAGTTTCACGATTCTGAATCACCCTTATGCAGCGGTATCACGAGCTGCTGCGTTCAAACTAAGAAGAACCTGAAGATTTGACTAAGTGTCCCAGCAGTCAAAGTGTGACATGACCAAAAGGCCGCTCCAGACTCCCCATCGGCCGTATCATACCGCGGCAAAGCCTTTTATCCATTTGTCTTCGGGTTAATCCAAACTTGTTGGGTTGACCCGGTTCGTGTTTAAGTTACTATAAATACATTTTCGACCTATCTTTAGGATTATCTTGTTTTCTCTCTAACATATTGATATTTTGAGGAAAGCTTGAACCTTTAGTAATCTATTCTTTCTTTCTTTAAGTAATTTGAGTTTATCTCATCTTCTTAACATTATTAGTCTTGAATCCATCATGTGTTTGAGGTAAAACATGGTGATTAGTGAGTAGACTTGTTTTCGATTCATGGGTTAGGATAATTAGAGTGATTAAGTGATGATATTGGGTGTTTAACTAGATTTATATGTTTCCTTGCTTATTGAGTGTGTTAAATGCTAAATTAGTCTTGATATCTCTAATCTTGATCTCTAGACATTTCATGCATAGAAGGTGTTTGATTAAATGTCTGAACCAACTCAACTTTACTTAAGAACTTGTCTAATGTGCGTTATAGACTTAAGGAAACCTATTGATTGATAACTTGCCACCTTATATTGGATCTTGATCATTTGAAGTCAAATACCTACATCCATTAATCCTATTTTTTCTATTGATTGAAAGCTTGTTACTTTGTTACTTAGTATCTTGTCACTTGTTACCATCAAAATCACTACTTTGCTTGCACTTAAAATAAACTTATGTATTGTTTCTCTTTGTTTAAAATCACTTAGGATTGGATTGACAATCTTTTATACTACTTTGATACTTGGATGGTGTAAAATCCTATATCAAAGCCAGCAACCCGAGCCCATCCATCCTTATAAATCAACAGGTCTGAGGTTAATTATATAAGCCCATTTGAGTTTTAACAAACCCGTTTGAGATATACGTAGCCCAAAAACCCAAAACTTATATTTTACTTTATTTACTTATTTATTATTGGTATTCATTTCTCAAATAAATATAGAATTTGTACTCGTGTTTTAAACAAATTTAGAATTTCGAAAACTACACTAGCATCAAAGTCTAGCTTTAATATTGGTGTTCATGTCTTTAAAAAAAAATTAAAGTCGTCTTTTACCAAAATATGTTGAAGCACTGATGTGTACACATAATTGGTTGGAATGATTTAAGTTCCGCTATTCAAGAACATATTGATATTTTATAAAAATTTATTATATATATATATATATATTAATATATATGTCAGAATTTAATATTTAAATATTTTATATGTAGCTTTTGATGACAGTAAAAATGTAGAAGTCACTGATGAACATCATGATCTTGATCTTATGATTTGTATTACTTAGAGTTGAAAGAATTTTGTTTCATTTCTATTCACTCTTACTTTTTCTTTGGTTTGTTTGGTTTATTAGGTAAGGAATTTATTTTGATTTTGGATTTTATAACATATGGATTATTTTTTAAATTTAAGATTAAACTGTTTTTTGGTTTTAAACTTATTATATTCAATTTTAATTTATCTTTTCGAAAGCATGAATAGCCCAAAAAGCCCTCTAGCCCATTTAAGGACGGACCAGACTTTGAAATGTAGGCCCAAACCTTTTGGGACCGGACCAGAGCGAGTTTAAATAGCAACGGACTTTGCGGATTTTAGTCTGGGCGGGTCGGACCAGCCCGATTGACACCCCTATTTAAAATGGTGAATAATTGTTGTTAGAAATCAAATTTTAGGAGAGATTTTTATCAAACAAAATTTGTGGGGAGAAATGGATAAAGTATTTACGAACCTAACAGCAAAAGGGAATCAGATAAAGAAATATTTATTGATATTTTAGAAACAACTTGATTATAACACAAGTCTACCAAAATATCTAAATTAGTCTACCATAATTTCATTAATGTCTTTCTTCTTAAATATATATTATTTACACATATTACTAAGTGGTTATTTTGTGCTCATGCACGGATATAAATATTTACAAAATAAATAAATTATAATAAATAGTTAATATTTGTTTTTACGTATTTTTAAATTCTATTTCATTGTCAAATTTATATACATTTAAATAAATAAAATATTTCTTTAAATAATGCAATTCGATATATCATATTCATACTGGCTCATTCAATATATTTTTTTGTGTATTTTAAGTTATAGTTATTCTTTCAAGTTAAACTATACAATTGAGTATTAAATAGGTGAAATCAGATTAATTTAGTGTGATTTATTACTTGTATTTAGTTCAGTTTGTTGTCTTAGCTTGTAAATATATTTATTTACATTTTATGATGTTTATAAATATATATATATATATATATATATATATATAAGAAATTAAAATAGTATCAGTTTAACCAAGCTTATTGGATCAGTTGACAATCATAAATTTTAATTTTAATTCTTGAGTTAATTAATTAGTTCGAAGTTAGTTATGGTCGGATCAACTGACTAATTACATGTATATGATTCATATGATTGATTTATATTTATGAATGTTTTGGGAAATTGTCTAAACTATCACTTTTTAGTACCTTATTTAATCTTTAAGTTAAACACATTTATCCTTGATTGTAAGAAGGTAAATAGATATTTATAACCCTAAATAGTACTAGATCTTTTTGTTTAGATTTGAGGGGTGGGGCGGAGAAGTGCTTTTAGCTCATACTTATAACCCTAACTAGTACTAGATCTTTTTGTTTAGATTTGAGGGGGGGGGGGGTGGGAGAAGTGCTTTGGTTGAGCTAATTCTTGTTGGAATTGAAAAGTTCTCATGTCTCATTAAAATCCACTTAATCTGAAAAAAACAGACGCACATTTTTCAAATACGATTTTTGGTTGAGCTAATTCTTGTTGGAATTGTAAAGTTCCTATGTCTGTACACCTGAAGCACTTCTCTCCGGCTTCACTTTCCATCCTCCAACAATATAAACTGTTACATAACCAAAACAAATCAATAAAGGGAGAGAGAGAGAGTTAATCATTCACCGTTAACCTCAAACATGAAACATGGAGATAAAGCTTAGGTACTTGGATGTGGAGAATGGTGTCACGGCTGTAAATGACAGTGAAGGATTTGTCTGGGTAATGTTTTGTGGTGCAGTCTCCACCTCAAACTTAACAGAACAGTTGAATCCAATAGTATGTTACAGTGCAAACGAAATAATGTTGACTACTGAAATGGTGGATGTTTTCCGGAAGAACTTGTTCGTCAAGGAGAAAGTAAGTACCTGGTGAGAGGTGGCGATGATGAAGAATACATAACTGACCCATGTTTCCCAGAGTAGACTGGAGGTGGAGTTGGATACTGCTCAACATGATGAACCGGGTCATTCCTTGATGGGAAGTAATTGACCTATAACATAAGCTTCTTGTAAGATAACAATATTCTAGCTTCAAGTTCAATATAAAGGTACTGATACAATAAAGAGGCATAAACATACAATGTAAACAGACATAGACATGCGTTTAGATGTTTTCATGTTGACTTTGGTCGGATCAATATTCAACATGCTGTATGCATCCAACTTTTTCGTCATATTCCCTTTGAATGTCTCACTGTAAATCACTTGCTGCATTCTATAGATAAACCGGTGGAACCAACTTTGCCTGATTGCACAGTGACAGAGGCTTCTCCTGCAAAAAAAATAAGCAACTCTTCTTTTAGTTACAACGCAAAACTCATCTTGAATCTTTTTCACGTATTTAATGTCTCAAACACTTACAACTATGAGACATCAGCTGCAACTCCCTGAACTCTATCAGGTCCAAATCATTCACATAGCTTTAAAAGGCTTGCATAAGACATCTAGACCCCATTTCTCTTTGTTCTCTCGCTTCCTCTTCTTCCCCACATACCTCTCTACTCAGAGGCGGACCTAGTAAAGAAAAAGGGGTGTCAGCTGACACAGGTTAAATCTCAAATAAATTTGTTTTGTACATAAGACAGTAAAGAATCAGTGGCATAAATGGTGTTTGTATTGGCTGTGACACCCCCAAACTCTAGTTTGAGTCCCCCATTTTACACTTTTTTGTAATTGTTTTTAAAATATATATCATGATGACATAGGTAAAAGTAAATGCTGGGTCCGCCACTGTCTCTACTTCAGCCGTCAGAACAACAATCAGCCACTTAAGCTTCATGCTCCACTCAATCCAATATCCTGTAACATCCTCTTATTTTTTTTTTTATCAACATCCTTGCTTTTTGAACAACAATCAGCCACTTTGGCGTATACTACATGGTCACTACAATATATAACTAATAACTGGTAACTAGTATTTAAACCCATCGATAATCACTATAAGGATTATGAAGAGTAAAGAAACATATTGGAAAGCCACTATAAGGAACTACATAAATATAGACTCATGTGATAATAAACAATAGATGGTTTAATGATGTACTTTTAAATTCAAGTTAGGACGGGATACCACTCTCAACGTTTCTAGATGTTTAGCAAAAAGCTCATTGTACTTTATTTGAATGTCAGACTTCTTAGCTTGAAGCTTCTCATAGTCGGAGACTGAAGGACCTCCCAGCTTTCGGTGAATGAACCTGAAGTGAAACCAAAGTAGAATCATTTATCAAAAAATCATATCCAAAACCAATACAGAGCTGAGATTTTCGAAACCAAAGGATTATATAATATGAATGCAAGATTTTTACAGAAACTCACTGTAAATCTGCATTCATGAACTTGAAAAACAAATTAAAAACTGTGATCTTCTAGAGGACAAGATTAATTATAGACTCTTTGACCCAACTTATATCAAGATTTCACCGAGTTCACTAAAACCTGGGTTCGAGATTATAATTCACCAAATTATGGTACTCTCTACATACCGGTTAGAAAACAGAGTAGGTATTCAGGAACTTACTCTAAAGCAGAGGAAGGCTTGTCATTCTGCTCATACAAAGCAACCATAACTACATTCGATTGTTCCAGAACACACAAAAGAGTATAAATCAAATGATGCAAACATGTCGTTTATTATGTCACAACATCTGATAGAGGAATATTTTATTGCAGCACTATGATATAACCTCTGTTCAAAAATGCGGCCACCTAGCCGCCTAGGCAGCCGGATAAATGCTACTTGGACATGTGCCACCCTGATTATGATGTAGTCGCCCAATAAAATTGGACACCACTTAATCGGCCCACTTAACTGACTAGTCGACCCATATAACGATTAATCGGTCCAATTGCCAACTAATCGGACTAATTATATAGACCTAAATTATTAACTGTGAATTTATGTATTGGGCTTTAGAGGAATCTCGTAGCCCAAATACTTTATCCGTTCTTCAATATGTGAACTCTATGTATAGAGTAAGATTTTGACTCTCTTTCCATCTATAACCAATGTGGGACTTTCTACATCAATATTAATAATGCAAAAATAATATATTGCAGAGGCAGAGCATCGAACATGGGTTTTTCAGCATAAGAACACATGACTTAAACACTAGGAAACAGCGAAGTTTTGACAGTAGTACGCAAAGGTTAATATATATACTCCGTATACATATAATAAAAACTCAAAAACTAGTCTAAATTAATTTGTTATTCAATTGTATGGTGTTACTATATACTAATAATTAATATTTTATAATAAATAAATATAAATTTCAATGATAACATAAGAAAAACTATTACATTTTAGTATATTTATATTTCATATTTTATATTTTATTTAAATATTATAATAAAATAAAATAATAGTTAAATTAATCCCCGCATATATCCCGTTTAATCTCTGATTTTTTGGTAACTCGCTAAGCCCGGGGCCGCCGCCCGACTAGCGCCTAGCGTAGTTTCGAACATAGAATATAACCAAACTAGGAAACACTGAATAAGATCGATATAGATTCCAATCAAATGAAAGGCTTCTGAAACTAAATTTTACTTAGTGTTCCTCGGTACGTTGATAAAAGGCTAACAGATTCAGAAGTTCTGACTCACAACTAACATGGAAACCTGACTTTCAAGGCTGAATGTTAGATTCTGTAGCTCTCTTGCTTTCCTCCTTGGCCCATGATCTGAGAAAATAACATAAGAGGATTCAGACACTTGAAAAGTCTGTTATGGACAGATTGAAACTCATTCTTCAGAGATCTAAAATAGTTTCTTTGACATAAAAAAAAATATATTTGGGATTGCATAACTATTACCCAGCCATGGACAGAGATTTACGATCCCCTCCAGTTCATACTGCAACTTAGAGCAGTATTAGTGAATCGTGCGACATTGGCGTATATATATTTAGGGTGAGAGTGGAAGTCGAAAAGTAATTCATGGGTTGTTGTCTTGATTTAATGACTTAGTGAGAGGAGGAGAAATTCAATGGCGATTAAAAACTGAAAAGCGACGAAGAAGAAGGAGGAAGTGGAAAAGGCCAGAGGTTGTAAGCAATACGGCAACGAAAATGGAAGAAAGAACTATGCTATAGGTTAGATGGGACAGCTAGCTCTATCCTATTGGCTGGTTTTTATGGGACAGCTAGCTCTATCCTATTGGCTGGTTTTTAATCTGACGTGGATAGCCTAGATGTTGATCTTATTGCGTATTTATTTATTGTCTGATTATTGCAACTGATCACTCTAAAAGTTATCATGAGACCGACACCAATGAAAATTGAATTCTTAAATAATAGTATAGGAGTTTAGATATCTAATTATATAAAGGAGAGTTTGCTTCCCTCCCGTGAGACTCACGTCATCAAATAAGTTCATTAGGACATGACACGTGTCGAGTTCACTCACAGTTTTGTTGCTCTCTTTTTCGTTCGTTTGTTTGTGAAATTTATGGGTTCTAAAGCTTGTTAGCCTGCTTAAATTGTGGACTGTCAGTTAATTTATTTGGGCCAAAAAAATACATAAGCTTAGGATATCGACTGTGTATTTCTAGGGTTTTTGTTTTTTGTTTTTTGTTTTCTCGAGCTCCGATTAGGTTGGTTTTAGAAGGTTTTTAGAGACGATTCTTCGTGGTTAATATTTGTGTTGCTTCGTCTGTGTTGTTCGTAGGCGATTCATCTCCTTCGATTCGTAAAGAGATGAAGTGCTTCAGCGTCATTAACAGCCTTCTTAACTACTGGCGGTGCATCCCCCACTTATAAAAAGGTCAGTTTTCATCGTTGAAGATCATCCTTACAATTCCTTATAACAATAGAAACTTATTTAGTATATTGGCTAACTCATCTGTCGCCTATTTGAAGGCCGACCGTTCTTCTTCCACCGTGGAGGTCTACTCAGGTTTTGGAAGTAAGAAACTTGAATCTCGGTGACGAGTTGATGGGTGTACACTGCTCCTCCTCCAAGCTAAGGTTGTTCCGTTCTTTAAACGCATGAGTTTTGTACATATAACGGCTAATAAACTCAGATTGATCAAATTTTAGTTTTCGATATCTTAATTAGCCTCTTCTCAGATTTATCGAATTTTAGTCTTCGATATCTTAAATAACCTCTTCCGGAGATAGTTTCTGATCTGTTTGTTGATTATGTTTTTATTTTTACATTTTTGGCAGGCGGCCCTCAAAACTTAAAAAGTACCATGAAGTGAAACTTGTACTCTTTCATTCTCATATGAATCATCTTATTGACTCAAATTGAATAATAAACTCCCGACTTTATTTTGATTTGTTTTTATCTAAATATTGATTTTGTTTGTATTTCTCTTTTTCCTCTCAGCAAGATCTTTTGATGAACACTACGTGTCGCGTTCGACACAAACCACGTGGAGAATATGTTTTTAATCTTTTAAGATTGATAAGTGGAAGCTTGATCAAGAGAAAGCATTGTTTTTTCTTTGTTATGACAATTGGTTTATTAAATCATCTTTGATTTAACATGACAATGGAAGTTTGATCGTGATTACTATAAATTCGTTCGAATCTTCTCCATCAATGATTTATGCTTTTGCTTTAAGAGCTTGGCTTTGTTTCTCATACTTTCTCTACTTTCCAATAATGTATGTTTGAGGTGAAAATGGTTTGAACAATATAAAGAGAGAGATGAGGGCGAACAAAGACGTTTTATTAGATCTGAACAAGGAGTTACAGAGAGACAAGTAAACAAGAGACGGACTAGCCGGAAATACAAGATGGTGAGTAAACGGGATGACGGGTAAACGGTAAGGTGAGTAAACGGGAAGGTGAGTAAACCCTAGATCTAACCACCTAGTCGCTAAGAAACCCTAGATCTAGCCGCCAAGTGAGTATGTCTAATTGCGGATCCCCCTTTTCCCTTTGCTGCTCCTCTCCTTTTATAGATCCAATCTTCGTGTTCGCCCTAGCTTACCCGAGCCTTGTTGGGCCTTATTATTGCTAGGCCCGTTTAGTAGTCCGGGTAAATCGTACTTCCACCGACTCTTCTAGAACACGTTTAGTCGCGCTACTAAACGCGCCTCATACCGAGTCGTTTTGGTGTTTCTCGGTGGGCCGAGTATATTGTCACGCTGGGCTAAGTTTCCTCATTTGATGGGCCTTGTGGAGGGGTATAACCCACCTCCTACAATAAGTCCCCCCAGTTCACTTATGAGTCCGTAGGACTCTAAGTGAATTTGTGGATCAGGTTTGATCAAATGAGAGAACTTGCAAGAATGCATGTTTAGGCGACTCCTCTGACGTGTCTAGTCTCGCGGCTAGAACGTCGATCATGAGCATGTTTAGTCGACACCTTGGACATGTCTAGTCTCGCGGCTAGAACGTCTATTGCGAGCACGTTTAGGCGACACCTCGAGCAAGTCTATTCTCGCGACTAGAGCGTCTATCGCGAGCACGTTTAGGCGACACCTCGAGCAGGTCTAGTCTCGCGACTAGAACGTCGATCATGAGCATGTTTAGGCGACTCCTCGGGCCTGTCTAGTCTCGCGGGTAGAACGTCGATTATGAGCACGTTTAGGCGACATCTCAAGCAGGTCTAGTCTCGCGACTAGGATGTCCTCCATTGTCGCGTAAATGCACCAGTTTGTTCCCGTCTAGTAGCACGACTGAATTGGTGCCTGTGAGAGCGAGTTTAGGCGATGCCTTTGGACGTATTTAGTCTCGCGACTAGAACGTTGGTCACGAGGACATCTAGGCGACACCTCGGACGCGTCTAGTCTCGCGACTAGAATGTCGACCAGGAACACACTTAGGCGACATCTTGAGCATGTCTAGTCTCGCGACTAGGAGGTCTTTTATTGTCGCATAAAGGCGTCATGTTGAGCTTTCTTAGTAGCATGACTGAGTTGATGCATGTGAGGGTATGTTTAGGCGACACCTTGAGCGCATCTAGTCTCGTGATTAGTGTATCTCTGATTGTCTCATAAAGACATCGCATCTCAATTCGTCGTGGAGTAACACTTAGTTTGAGTGGATCATCAGAGTTGAGATGCACATCCAGCTTCTAACCGTCTTCTGGTTCAATCTCAGTCGCTGCTCGGTTTAGCTCCGGTTTAATCTCGGTTGGAGTAAACCGGTTTTAAGGGCTTAACCGATCTTAATTAGGTTAAGGGTTAATAGATCGTGGATAATCTTCAGGGTTTCTACAGTTAATGGGCTTATTTAGGCCCGTTTAAACGCATTAATTGCACTTAGAGAATCGTGCCTCAGGACTTTGCTATAAATAGGTAGATTCTCTCCCTCTTTCATTATTCTTCTCTGCAAGCTCAGGTACTTTCTTCTCCCCCTTCTCTCTACTTTTAGCTTTCTCTCTCTAAGTATTCTGCTTCGGGTTATGGCTTCGTCGGGGCGATTATCCCGTGAAGAAAAAGGCAAAGGGATTGCCTGCGCCACCGGTCAAGCCGATGATGTTACAGCGAACGGAAGTCCAATAGAAGACTTCAGTTTAGTTCATCGCGACGCTTTGCGTAGGGAGAGGCTCGAGCCGCACAAAGACTCGGCCGCGGATTTAGCGAGTGAGGAGGATGACTCAGCCGCCGAA